CCCACTGAGCCCCGCCCCCACGACCTGATTTGGGAGCTGGGGATCCCCGCCCCAGCCCGGAGGGCAGTCGCCCGCCGGTTACCTGTGTCCCCGATGATTATGTATTTGAAGAGATAAGCATAAGTCATGGTCCTGTTTCCTCTGGATTCCGGGTCCGCCCGACTTCAACAGCCACTTGCCTCCGGCCTCTCTAGCCACTCAATCCGCCCATCTCCGGCCCCTCTAGTCCCGATCGCGTCTCTATGGCTCTCCCCAGAAATCCTCTCTGGGTCGGAGCCACGGTCGTCCTCAGGCGCCGCCTCCCGGGACGCCTCTAACACACCTCCTGCCATAATTCCTCCAAGCGCCAGGGGGCGGTAGCTAGTATGGGAGTCGCAGCAGCCGGCGCGCCTGCCAATCGGCGGAGAGCGACGCGCGTCCTTGCGGAAGTGACGGCGGTCGCGGGTCCTGCGGGGGCGGCGGGGACGATGTGAGGGGACCGAGACGGTGGTAACCGTTGTGTGAAGATGGAGGTAGGAACTGGAGCGCTGGGAAGGCTGGCTAGAGAGAGCGCGGCTGGCCGGGTTGGAGCGGAGGCGGGAAGCCGGGCGGAGAGACAGTTGACGGGACCGCAGAGAGCGCGGGGTTGGAGTGTTGGTCTGAATGTCGGGGTCGGAACCCGTCACTCCGAGCGAACTCCCTTCCTCCCTAACTTATCCCCGCGGCTTTCTTTTGGTTTCCAGTTTCCCGGAGGAAATGACAATTACCTGACGATCACAGGGCCCTCGCACCCCTTCCTGTCAGGGGCCGAGGTGAGCACGAGCGGCCGGCGCTGGGGGGATGGGTGGGGGGGGTTTTTTTTGGTCTGGCCACCGAGGCCGCTGCTGGTGTTTCGGCTCTTCTGGGCCCCGAGGACGAAGGGGAGGCCCGGGCGCAGCTGTCATCAGGAAAGCGGGGCGGAGGGAAGAGCTACTATTTCCGAGTGATTCTTGGGGGGAAGACAGCGTGAAAGTGTCTCCTTTGGTTGGGGAGAAATAACCGACCATCTCGAGGGAATCGCAGAGGGAAGAGAACATGTCAGCCAGAGAAACTGGGGCGAGGGAAGGAGCTTGCCTAAAAGGGGCTAGCCGTGGGCATGTGTTCCTTCCATATATATTTGATTTTTGACAGAGAGGAAGGGAGAGGGATAGAGAGTTAGAAACATCGATGAGAGAGGAACATCGATCAGCTGCCTCCTGCACACCCCGACTGGGGATGGGCCCGCAACCAAGGTACATGCCCTTGACCAGAACCGAACCTGGGACCCTTGAGTCCGCAGGCCGGCGCTCTATCCACCGAGCCAAACCGGTCAGGGCTGTGTTCCTTCTTGAAACAACTCTGTTGGGGGCGGGGGGTCTTTGTTTCATTCAAATTTCCTACTCAGCCATGAAAACAGAAAAGTTAGCTTGTTTTGCTAGTGACAGGATGAAAGGAAGTCGTTACCAGGAAACATGAAAGAAGTTAAGTGAGACAGGGGCTTCTGTTCGCCGGTGACTCAGGTTGCTTCGCCTCTGTGTGGCCCAGTTTCTCCAGCTGTCAGACGGCTACAGTAGCAGCTCCTTGTGGTGTTGAGGCGTGGCTCCGTGGCTGAGCGTGGAGCTATCGGCACCGGGAGGTCACGGTTCCATTCTGGCCAAGGGCACATGCCTGGTTGCGGGCTCGATCCCAGTAGGGAGCGTGCAGGATGCAGCTGATCAATGATTCTTTCTCATCATTGATGTTTCTCTCTGTCCCTCTCCCTCTCTAAAATCATGTATTTTTTAAAAAGACTTAAAAGAAAAAGAAAATTGATGTTTCTCTCTGTCCCTCTCCCTCTCTAAAATCAATAAGAATGTATTTTTTAAAAAGACTTAAAAGAAAAAGAAAGTGCATCATTGCCAATTTCTTCTAAATCAGGTCTCCACATTTAAGTTTCTTTATTTAGACTGTGGCAAATTTCACATTGTCCACACCTAGAAACTTGATGGGTTTGAGCCCGTCCTTTGTTTTTGTTTTTATGACTTTAAGACAAAAATAGTACTTTGCCAAGAAGCTGATAACTAAATTTTAGTGGCTTCTTTTAGCCCAGGATTTTGTCTTGTTAATAGTTCTTCTCATTGCCACTTCACCTTCCTTTCCCGTTTTTTGGGTTTTTTTTTTTAGCTTTATTTTAATTGGTTTATGGTTTTTGTTGTGTCTGGTCTTATTGTGAGGTAATTTTAAAAATTTTTCTTTTAGAGAAGGGGGGGCGGTTAGAGAGAGACATCAGTTTGTTGTCCTACCCATTTATGCATTCATTGGTTCCTTCTTGAATGTGCCCTGACAGTGGATCGAATCTGCAATCTGGCATGTAGGACAATGCTCTAATCAACTGAGCTACTCAGCCAGGGCATTCATTATATTGAGTACTTTCTAGGTGCTGAATTCTTTGCAAATATGCCATGATAGGAGGCAGTGCATGGTGATGGAGAGATCTCTGTTTAAATCCTGTCTCTCCCTATTTTTTTTGTTACAGTTGACATAGTGTACAACATAGTGACTACACATTTATATAACTTAGGAAGCGATCACCTGATAACGCTAGTATGAGCAAAAGATTTGAACACATACTTCACAAAAGAGCGAATCCAAATTGCCACTAGGCATATGAAAAAGGGTCATCATCACTCATCAGAGAAATGCCAATTAAAATTAAGGAGATACCATTGCACATCCACCAGAATGTTTAAAATTAAAAAGACCGACAATTCCAAGAGTTGACAAGGATGTAGATAACTCTTAATCATTGCTGATAAGAGTGTAAATTGATTCAACCACTCTGGAAAACTGGCAGTATCTACTAAGGATAAGCATATACTTACCCTGTGACCTAGTGATTCCACTCTTTGATACACACATGAGAGAAATGAGTGCATATATTCACCCAAAACATGTATGTTCACAGCAGTTTTATTCATAGTAGCTAAACATTGGAAACAACCCAAGTGTCTATAAAATGGTACATGTGTCAAAAGGAATACTACACAGCAATAAAAAATGAACTATTAATAAATGCAACTTGGATGATCTCAAAAATATATTGTAAGTAACAGAAGCCAGACATAAAAGAATAGACACTATATGAGTTCATTTTTAATGAAGATAAAAAATATGCAGTACTAAACTATAGTGATATAAATCAGAATAGTGATATCTGTTGTGGAAGTGGGGAGCATTGACTGGGAAGGAGCATGAGAAAATACTTTGGAGTGATAGAAATGTCTGTATCTTTGATCTGAGTGGTGGTTAATTGGATGTTAGCATATGTAAAAAAATCCATTGAAGTATATATTTAAAAATTGTGTACATAAGTTATATTTCAGTCAATAAAAAATAATTTTTAAAGAGTAGGTGTCCAGAGAGAAAAGCTTAGCATTTGTTATAACATTGCTTGAAATAGGAAATGTCTATAATCTAAAGGGAGTTTAATCTTTTGTTTCATTCAGGTTGGTTCCTATCCTATATAATAAAAGGGTAATATGCAAATTGACCCTAACAGCAAAACAACTGGGAATGACTGGTTACTATGACACACACTGACCACCAGGGGGCAGACGCTCAATGCAGGAGCTGCCCCCTGGTGGTCAGTGCGCTCCCACAGGGGGAGCTTTGCTCAGCCACAGGCTGCCAGTACAGCGGTGGTGGTGGGAGCCTCTCCCGCCTCCTCAGCAGCGCTAAGGATGTCTGACTGCAGCTTAGGCCCAATCTCCCGGGGAGCGGGCCTAAGCCAGCAGGTAGGTGGTCATCCCCTGAGGGGTCCCAGACTGCAAGAGGGCACAGGCTGGGCTGAGGGACACCCGCCCCCCAGTGCACAAATTTTTGTGCACTGGGCCTCTAGTATAATGATAATGTGTTTTGAGCACTTTGGGAAAATAGTAATCATAAACATACCTTAATTAGAAATAGCATTTATAAGATTAGAACCAGTTAATGATTTCAGGCTGAATAAAAATCACTACTATATCAGTTGTTTTTTAAAAATGGGTTTTTGGGAGGACAGAGAGAGAGAAAGAAACATTGATGTGAGAGCAAGACATAGATCAGCTGCTTCCTGCATGCCCTCTACTGGGGATGGAGCCTGCAACCTGGGCATTTATCCTGACAGGAATGGAACTGGCAATCTTTCAGTGCTAGGGCTGACTCCCAACCGAGTCACACCAGCCAGGGCTACTATATCAGTTTTTAAGAACAATAAGTTATTTAAATAACACATAGTACTAGTGTATTATTGAATAAATAGGTGTTGGATTAAATTTCTTTAAAATGAAAAATTTACCCAAGAAACTAAAGAAATGCTGGATTGTGTGTTTTGGTATGGGAGTGTGAAATGGGAAGGAAATGGTTTGTTGTTGGTTTTTTGTTGTTCTCTCAATAGGTAAGCCTCCTTATTTTATTTTAAACATTTTTTATTGATTTCAGAGAGTAAGGGAGAGGGAGAAAGAGAGAGAAACATCAATGATGAGAGAGAACCATTGATCGGCTGCCTCCTACATGCCCCACATTTGGGAACGAGCCCACAACGAGGTCATGTGTCCTGATCGGGAATCAAACCATGACTTCCTGATTCATAGGTCAGTGCTCAACCACTGAGTCACACCAGCTGGGCAGCCTCCTTATTTTATAAACTGTAATTCCCAAACTGCTTCTTCCCCCTAAAAGGCCCAGGAATTTAACAGAGAAGGAAAAGAAAGCTGAGTGAGAAGGTAACTGCATCATGTTTCTATTTTCTCCTTCTGTGCCCACATCATTTATATTTACTTTAATACTTGCTACAGTTATCTTTGTTTTATATTTGACAGTCTAGAATATGATCTAGTTATGTAGTAGATCCACTAAAATAAAATAAGTTTGGATTTTCCTAATTGGATTTTAACCATAATCTTTCAAATCATTTGTAGTAGTAAAGGGATTTTGAGGGAGTCTCTGTGTTTATTCTAGCATGTGGTTTACCCTTCGTATTCTTATTCATTGCCATTATTTTACTCTTCATACTTAAAGGAAGAAACCCAAAATAAACAAAACAACACAGCCCACCTCCCCGCTTTCCCCCAGAACACACACAATACTATTAAAGCCACAGATAGTGACTAACAAAGCTGTTTTCAGAAGGTTGTACATACAAAGAATGCCTTGTTAATTCATACAGTGGAATCTCTGCATGTCTGTTTTTTTAGTGTAGTGCATAAGAGCACTCCAGATGGTTTGTGAGGGCTAGTCCTTTGTAGAACACTGGTCTCTTGTTTTGGA